TCGAACGGGATTTTTATTTTAATGAAACGGAGTCGTTTTGCAACTGTGTGCACCGTGCATGGTGCACACGATTGCATAGCATAATGATTGTTCAAATTTATAACCTCCTACTTAGGGGAGCAACTGAGTACCAATGGACCACAAGGTCCTTGGTTAGTTGGGTTTTACTTTTTGAATATAAAATATAGGTTTATTGACAAAAATAAATGATATTTTTTATGTCTTGCAACAGTTAGAATCCGTTCGGTACTTTTTCATTCATCAAATTCTTGGTAAAATAATGTTTCGGAATATGTTTGATAAGAATGATGAGAACTGATTGTATTGTATTTATTGAACTTGATTACAATGAGATCAGATGATGTGAATATACAGAATAGAGAGTCACAGTGTGACAATGATAAGAAGTAGAGAGTCACAGTGTGACAAGGATAAGAAGTTCTAAACAGACTCATATACATAGAGTCCTAATACTCCCCCTCAAGCACAGTGTATACTAGTAACCTGTAGCTTGTCCCTTAAGGATGAAAATCTAGGTCCAGGCAGAGCTTTGGTGAAGATATCAGCAAGTTGATCTTTTGTGGAGATGAAGTTGACTTGGATATCGCCCGAAGCTACTCGATCACGAAAAAAATGATAATCAATCTCCACATGCTTGGTGCGCGCATGAAAGATTGGATTGACACTCATATATGTAGCTCCTAGATTATCACACCATAAATTTGGAATGGAAATACCCGGAATCTGTATCTCACGCAGTAATGACATAATCCATAGAACCTCAGCACAAACATCTGCAAGAGCTTTGTATTCAGCCTCAGTGGATGACCTGGCAACAGTTCTCTGTTTCTTGCAAACCCATGATATAAGATTACTCCCCAAGAAAACAGCAAAACCACTCGTGGATTTTCGATCGTCAGGATAACCAGCCCAATCAGAATCAGAGAAAGCATGAATGTCTCTAGATGAGCACCGTCATGACAACTCGGCTAATCTTAGTTTTGTTACTTTTTTCACATCGGAGCCTTGAGGCTCCTATAAAAAGAGCATTTTGGCTCCAATTTAAAAATTAAGCTTGCCCATCTGTTGATGGAGAAACAGTGAGCTAGCGGAACTAGTTCTTGTTATTCAAGGAGTCGAAATGACTCTACAATAATTTTTTTTTTTTTAAAAATATAGAGGTATTTTGGAGAAATCAATCTCAAAAATGCTAAGTGAAAATATTGTAAATTGCAATTTTGTATTTTCAGTGGTTTGGGACACATTGTTGCTTCAAACTGTTGAATAACCAAACACTTTCTTTAACATTTTGATCTTTGGGTTACATCATATTTATGAATCGTCCAATATCTTTGGGTTAAATTATAATTAAAAAATTTTAAATTTTTACTACATCTAAATTCCTTAAATTAGGAATTTCTTTATCCATAATAATTTATTCAACAATAATGGTCGAACTAAATGAACACTGAGCAAAACACCTAAAAGACTGGTACCGTTGATTCATTTATTGATCTTGTATATATGTGCATTCATTAAATATGTTATTAACTCTTTACAACAAAAATGCTTGGTTACTATTTAAAAAAGTTTAGTAACAATTACAATGAATCTCCTATATTACATTGTATTCATATACTATGAGTTACATATTTAAATAAACAAGTTCGGCATTAAATTACTTATGTACGAGCTTCTCATATATAATCTTGCATTGATATACTTTCAAATATTTATTTAATTATAAACATTGGGCATTAACTCATTCGTGCAATGCACGTGTAAAACTAGTATATATGAGTTAATACCATCTGATGTACTCCGAGTATAGTGATTTTGCCACGTTTAGTCCTAAACTTTCAAATTGACCATTTGTGGTCTTTCGACTTTCAAATTTAACCATTCGTGGACCGTGGTCCAAGTTAACCACTCATGGCCTTTCAAGTTTCGAAATTTAACCAGTAGTGTATATATATATATATATATATATATATATATATATATATATATATATATATATATATATATATATATATATATGTGTGTGTGTGTGTGTGTGTGTGTGTGTGTGTGTGTGTGTGTGTGTGTGTGTGTGTGTGTGTGTGCGTGTGTGTGTGCGTGTGTGTGTGTGTGTGCGTGTGTGTGCGTGTGTGTGTGTGTGTGTGTGTGTGTGTGTGAGAGTTAATACCATCTGATGTCCTCCGAGTATAGTGGTTTTGCCACGTTTAGTCTTAAACTTTCAAATTAATCATTTGTGGTCCTTCGACTTTCAAATTTAACTATTCGTGGTCCAAGTTAACCACCCATGGTCCTTTAAGTTTCAAAATTTAACCAGTAGTGGTCCTCATGAAAGGACCGTGGTTGGTTAAAATTTAATAATTCAATTAATATCGTCGTATGTATATCTTATTATTTTGATAAAATAAATAATCAAAATTATGGTTAAAATTTTGAGGAATTGTAAAATAATATTGGTAGAACGCTAAGTTGCATATATACTTGAAGAATTACTAACGGAAATAAAGAAGAAAAAGTGCTTTGGATCAACAAAACCTTAGCTTATACTTTAAGTTAAATCAAGTGGTAATGAAAAAAGATTTAGACATTAAAAATTAAAGATTTAGATCCAATATTTTGTGTTTGCCCAGGCAAAAGTGCTATTATCGATGGCTAATTGCCTAATTCAAACAGAGTGGTTATTGCGATCATATAAAAACTTATTTTTAAACCCTGAGTAAGTGAGTAGTACCTTAAGTGGCAAGTGAGCTATCTTTGTTGGGGGGGGGGGGCGGGGGGGGGGAGAATTTCGAGATAATCCAAATTTGATTCCCACAAGGCCACAAGTGACGATTTATCTTTTCTCTTGGGCTAGGTCCATGGCCTCTCGAAGTGAACTATTAAACGAACATCGGACACTAAAAAAAACTCGGACCACCTTGTGATTTATACGAAAAAAAAAAAACACTTATTTTCAAGAGAAAATAGAGAATCAATATTAACTATGTATATAATAATATTTAACCGTTTTAAATTAAGTAAGAAAAGAAAACTCGTGGTGACATTTTGATATTTTTTTCTAATTTTAAAAGTATATTTAATTCCTTGTTTCATTAAAATTGTCCTTTTGAAAATCACACAAATATAATAATAAAGCATATTTAATACATAAACTAATCGAAAAATATAATGATCATATGAGAAATTGTTTTGATGAAAAAACTAAGAACCAATCTTAGCCATTCATCGGACAAGATGTAACAATTCTAAAGTAAGGTGAGAAAAAAATTACAATGACTCAAATTAAGAAAACTAATAGACAACTTCTACACGGAGTTGAATTTGAAACTTTGTGCAGGTTTACCAAACAAACCTAACTAATAGTCTGACCATCTCTACTAGGTTGACATACTCAAATTAATTTTAAAAAAAAAAAGTTACAATGGTATATCTTTCATTTCCCATTAATAAAATTAAGACATATTGTGAATAAAATGTTGCTATTTTTCTCGATCTCTTAATTTTTCCTCCTAATTAATGTCTACTTTATGACGTGACAAAAAGTTCATTGGTTGTTGTCAATTGACCAACTCCATTCATAATTAAAAACGTTTTTACTTATATAAAAGAAACTAATTAATATTATCATATAAATATGTCAAAACTAGGAGGAAAAATGGGTATGTAGAGTGTAGCATTACTTTCGTGAAAATTATATTCGATGAGAATAAACTCATCATTGTGTACTAAAATATGTACCATTTAAGCTAGAATGCCTATTAACCACGCAAACTCCCATGTAGAGTACCTGATCCACTGATTACGCCGCCATGCATGCACGTAATAACACATATTTTCATACACAAGGGACAAATAATACAAGATTAAAACAAATGGATTAGGGTTCATACTGCACTATAAACCGGCAAATTATATTGTGCACCGCGGTTGCATAATCGATTATGCACCGCGTATCAAAACGACGTCGTTTTGTTTAATGTAAAAAAAAAACGGCATCTATTTCCCGTCGTTCCGCACTCATCCGTAAAAAGTAACTCTGTTATTCAGTTTCATTTTGTATACACTGCAGTTTCACTTCAACACAATTACAGTTTCATTTCGATATAACTATAGTTTCATTCGATATTTATAGACTCAAATATGTGAAAATGTTATTTAATTTTATTTTTATATACACAATAGTTTTATTAAAACACAACTACATGATCATTTTGATATAATTAACAGCTTCATTGTACAATATACACTCAAATATGTGAAATGTTACTCAGTTTCATTTTATATATACTGCAGTTTCATTTCACCATAACTACAGTATCATTTTGATATAACTGCAGTTTCATTTGATAATATAAAAATAATACGTGAGGTAGTACCGGTTTAGATATACTGTAGTGTCAGTTGGTAATTAATATACAAAAAAATGCGCGCTCCATTAATACTAACGGCGCGCCGTTTCTTTACTTAAAGAAATGACGTTGTTTTGACCGTGGTGCACGTGCACCGCGGTCCACGATATAACGACTGCTATAAACCTTGATACATGTTTATGCGTTTTATGTTGTGAGCTTTTGTGTTTTGCGTTATGAATTTCTGTACCTTAAGGAGTATGAATTATTTACCTAAAATAAATTCGTAATTGTGTCTTATGTTACGAAATTTTGTGTCTTGTGTTGTGAAATTCAAAATTTGTGTCTATAAACACAAATTATGTAACTAAATCAGATTTGAAAAATAAGTAAATATATAACATGTGTATGTTTCTTGTGTTGTGATTTTTTGTATTTTTTATAATAAAATTTTGTACCTCTTATTTTGATTCAAGATTCATAATACTATATGGATCGTCATCCATGATATAAATTGTCCCCTAAGTAACTACGTAAGTGCTCCCTATATAAACCCCAGAAAATGGCCTAACATTTCATACTGGATAGATTGAAAAAGAAAAATTGAAAAACTCTCTATCTTTCAGAAATTATTTAATTAAGATGGACAGAGAAGGAATTTTGGTAGTGGTTGTGTCCCTTGTGGTTTTGGGATTGAGCTTGCGAGAAGCCTCCGTCGTCTCGGCGGCGGTGACGCCGCAGCCGGCGGCGAACGGCAAGACTACTCTGGTGCGGCAGTACTACAAGAAGCTGAATACATGTAAAAATGCGGAGGCATTTGTGAAGCAGCAAGTGGAAATGATGTGGAAAAGGGATAAGAGCCTTACTGCCAAGCTGCTTAAGTTGCTCTATGCGGATTGTATGGTTAATGTAAGTCATCTTTCTTTAGCTCTCTTATTACACCCATTCAAAAAGTGGTGAGATTGTCTAATTTCATTTTTCAATATGATCATATCTTTGAGAGATAGGGTACTTGACTTGACCCTTCAGGTCTCCATCCAACAATTCTTTAGTCACTGGTGTTGGACTTGGTTTTCCACCGATCTCTGCCTAACAATTTTCCTCTCCCTCAGCACTTGCCAGCCCATCCTATTAGAATTCGAACCCGTGACTTGACTTTGATACTACTTGTTAGGATCAAACGAAGCTCGGGAAGTGTGGGTAGGGGAGGCATTGTGTGGGAGACCAATGAAAAGTCTATCACAAGGTGGTTAGAGGGATTGTTCGAAAAGCCCGAAAGGCCAAGTCCAGCACTTTGCCTATCAAAAATGTAGTGTATAAAAAAATAAAGTTATGTCTTTATTACCATCTATATAACTTTTGATGTAATATAAATTCTTAATCTTAAACACACTTCACTTTATTAGACTTTCTAAGTTTTAAGTCATAAATGGTTCAAAGTGTTTTAATCAATGCAATTTATTTAAATGGCCTTTCTAAAAGTTGATGCCACTAAAATATTTTGACCTCTACTCACAAGCACCTTTAATATTTTGGTCATATCAAAATATACTTTTTATTATTATTTCTATTGTATTTATTTGTTTGTTTACTATATTCAATTAATTAGAATTGATATTCCTTTATTTTTTTGAAGTCATCAGACCTAGGTTTATTTCTAATCTCACAGTTAATTTTTTAACTACTCTAATTTTATAATTCTCTCAAGCGCACCTTTAATTGGTGAACAAATGAGACTGAGTGGATGATTATTAGAATTTTATCGGATTTTTCTATGTTGCATGCTTTTTTGGAATTGTTCCACCGCATTTCTTAATTTTTGGCAATATAAATAGTAAATTTATGTTGGATTGTAATTGTTTCCTTTTTAAAAGTAAGACAATATGTAATGCACCATAAATATTTTTTTTAATAATAATAATAATAATAATATTATTATTATTATTATTATTATTATAAAGAATTTATAAATAAAAAATTAAAATTAAAAAAAAAAAAAACTCACCTTCTTATATCTTTTCAGGGCTGTGATGGATCAATTTTGCTAAATGGTGCAAACTCAGAGAGGAATGCCATACAAAATATTGGGCTTAGAGGTTACGAAGCAATTAACACAATAAAAAGAATGCTTGAAATTCGATGTCGTGGAGTAGTGTCTTGCTCTGACATTTTAGTAATAGCCACTCGAGATGCCGTTGCTCTGGTAACTTAATTAATATTGTTATCTCAATTCTATATTATAAGCATGGTTGAAAAAATTATTAGAAGTTCATCGGGCGTTCAGGGTGTGCCTAGCGCCTAAGGCGGGATTAATCAGTACTTAGGTGTTCATGTATTTTTTATTTTTAAAAAATTTGTTTAAATTTTTTAAGACTTGATAATTATAAACTATTTAATGTTTTAATAGTTAATACTAAAATATTAAATATTAACCTAAAAAACATTTAGAGTTTGAATAATTTAGGGTTATTTCGCTCAAAACGATATCGTTTTGAGTGAAATAACTCATTTAAAAAAGAATGAAACAATAGTTAATTGGCCGACTAGGTGATCTAGTCGGTGCCTAGTAGGCCTAGGAAGCCTAGGCAGCACTTAGGCGGCCTAGTCGGCCAGGCGTCTAGACCACCGATTATGGTGATACACTAGGCGGCCGACCAGTGCCTAGCGTCTAGGCGCCGATTAATCGGTGCGTAGGCGGGATTTTTGTAACTGATTATACGTCAAATATATACATATATTATATAATTTTTAAATTCCTGGTTTCTTACATTGTCAGCTATATTATATTTTGTGAGAGTGAACTTCTTCGATATATATGACATTTTGTTAAAAAAATGTTTATTAAATGAGTAAAGATATATTTCCCTTTCAACCTTTAAAATGAGGCATGCGATGGAATAAATTGTAGTTTATATTGTAAGTCGAAAAATCATAAGTGTATTGTGATGGAGTAAAATTTTCTACATGTGTCTAGATTTTATTAGAGACAAAGAAAACAAATGAATTACAATTGTGACTACATTTTTTTAATGAACAAAAGTGTGCTGTATCGTTTCCCAAAAAAAAAAAAAAAAAAAAAAAAAAAAGTGTGCTGTATGAGCATAAAAGATATTTAAAAAAATAAAAATAAAAAAATAAATTTGAGGTCACATTTGTGTGAGACTGTCCCATGAACTTTTATCTGTGAAACGGGTCGGGTCTAGTTAACATTCAGATGTCATACTTATATGGTCAAATGTAATACTAATTAGAAACAAAGCCTTTGTTACTTATAAGAAAAAAATATAATATTTGTGAGAATAAATGTAATACTTTTACATTTTCATGTAAAATAATTATATTTTCTATCAAAATTATTACATTTTATCTTACTAAATAATGTTGACAAGTGTTTGTTACTTATAAGTAAAAATGTAATACTTGTAAGAAAAAATTTAATACTTTTAAATCAAGTATTACATTTTTTTATATAATAAATAATTTATTCTAATTAGTATTACATTTATGCATATAAATATTACATTTTTATCTTGATCCAATTTGTCTTACGAGTGAGATAATTTCACATAAATTTTTGTCTTTTAGTATTTACTCTTGTGATCTCACATTTAATTTGATTGATGTGATTATTAGGCAGGTGGACCATCTTACCCGGTACTCTTGGGGAGAAGGGATGGAAGAGAATCAAAGGCATCCTGGATTGATTACCCTTCGCCTTCCATCACTTGGGAAGAAGGGCTGGCTTATTTCGAATCCAAAGGTTTAAATGTTCAGGATTTCGTTACATTAATGGGTAAGTTGGTTATGTTAATTGTTAATCCATTTTGCTTCTTTAATTATACTTTTATTTTATACAAATAAAACTAAGAGTTAATGAATCATAATAGATTTAGATGTTAATATAACCAAATTGTTGTCATGGACGGAGCCAAAGGGGGCGGGGGCAGCTGTCCCCCTCCCCACTGCACTCCCACCGCATATATAATAATTGTATGTATATATGTATATATAGTATATATTTTAGTATTAGTATAAAAAAAAAACAGATAAATGTTAACAAGAAATGAGATAGATTAGCTGGTAGTGCAGATGTTTAGTTGTAGTGAAGGTTTAGATTTTAAATCCTTTGTTGGTATTCACATAATTTTACAGTTTCTTTTGGCTTCAACACAATCACATTGTTAATAGCTTTTTTAATATTTAATAAAATACACACACACATATATAACATTCTTTTATATTAAAAATTGCGATGTGTAATTTATAATGTGTTTTCTATTCAAATAATTTTATCAAATTATTATGTTTCATATTTTGTTATATGAATATTTTTAATAATATTTCGATGTGTTTTATTTTTCGCCCATAATCAACAATATTTATACCTATATTTCTTGGATAATTTTTTTTTCACATTATCTCCTTTATTTTTTCTTGTGTTCTCTTTTTTTTTTTTTTTTTTTGGATCCGTCGTCCCTGCTTCTTCGCCCCCTCTCAACAAAATTCCTGGCTCCATCCCTGCTTCATCATTCTTGATTCATGTGATAAACTTTGAATTGAATTTGGTTGGTTTGAAAATGTTTCAAAAGCAAAAGTGATCAAATTGACAATTAAGAATTGAAATTAAAATGTTAATATAGCCTTTGAAAAAGGACCGAAAGTGAAATTAGTTTTTTCAAAAATTATACATGGAGCATTTCTACTTGAACTTCATTCATATTTACATAAAAGTGATTAGTGTTCAAAGTATCATTATATATTCGTACAATGCAGGGGCGCATACAATGGGAAAAACGCATTGCAGATACATCCTTGACCGCCTCTACAACTACAAAAACACTTCCAAACCTGATCCAACCATGAGTTTAAGCCTCCTCAAGAGCTTAAGAAAACTTTGCCCACCAAAGACACAAAAGGGCCAGCACGATCCCCTTGTGTATCTAACACCCGAGGGACACCCCGAGAATTACAAGTTTACCAACACCTATTATTCTAGAATTCTCAAAAATCAATCTGTTCTCACAATTGATCAACAACTACTCTATGGAGCTGACACCAACGAACTAGTCAATGAATACGCTGCAGGTTTTGGAGATTTCAAATTTGGATTTGCATTATCGATGAATAGAATGACAAGTCTCAAAGTTTTAACAGGAACTCAAGGGGAAATAAGGCGAGAATGCAGCCGTACAAATTAAACCAATTTAATGTAATCGCTATATAAGATGGGATATGTTTACCCATAGAAAGGCAAGTGGAAGCATGATTGATGTGAGAATCAATGGTTGTTTGTGAATCAATGTTGTACTTACAATTTCGTTAAATAAATAAATTCAATTTGAATTTGTGTATATCCTTAGCTTATAATAAAATGCCAAATTGCTAACTACTATGTGGTGCATGACAGATTTGTTATCATTTCAAATTGGTGATCACAGAATTGGATACAGTAGTCAAGACATTGATTCTTTGGGTTAAAAAAATTTAGAGAGTATAAAAAAAAATCTTATCTTATAAAGAATCATTAATGTTTCAAAAAAAATATATCAAATAAGAATTTTCTCTGGGGGTGGGGGGTTGGGAAGAGAATTCCATCAGAGATCCCTTATATTTCGTGGCAATTTTAAATTTAGTTCCAGGCTATTGTTTTTGCCATTTAACATTCCTAGACTATTATTTTTTGGACACTTTTAGTCATTCTCATCATTTTTTTTTTAATTTTTAGTAAGGGTATTTTTGTCTCTTCATTTTTTTCTTTTGTTATTTTTTTCAGTTTCAACCGGTTTAATTGGTTTAGGACTTTACTAAAAATTGGTTGAAAAATATGACTACTAAAAATTAGAGGTTACCTAAAGTTATAAACCAATTAAATGGGTTGAAACCGGAAAAATAATAAAAGAAAAAAATGAAGAGACAAAAATGCCCTTACTAAAAATAGGAAAAGTGATGAGAAGGACTAAAGTGTCCAAAAAATAATAGTCTAGGGATGTTAAATGGCAAAAATGATAGTCTAAGACTAAATTTGGAATTGCCACCAAAAACAAGGGACCTCTGGTGGAATTAACTCTATTTCTCAATCACATTAAGTTCTTAAGATCAAACTAAGAAAATACAAACACGTGCATTAGCTAAACTTTTGTCTCTTCGATTTGATATGAACCTATTAGTATAGTATTTACTTCAGGACTCTTCTAAGTCTATTATGTTTGTAATAGGACTCTACTTGTATATACTTTCTTTATCTGTAATCTTCCTGCATTGAGATTATTGAATATACACAAACACAGATATACAAAAGGTTTCGTCTCTAAACTTTGCTAATGGCACGCACTAGACGTAGTAGACGTTCGGGGAACACTGGAAATGCTGCCACCGCGGTCACCACCGATAACACTGGCACCGCCGTTAGTGTAGGGGCCCGCATAGCAGCCAACCATGCTTCCAGTGAGGATCTCCGAGAATAATTGAGTCATCGCAACTCCAACAAAATGTCGGCAGCGCGTACCAAGGGTACTGTTATGCAAGTCGATTAATGAGGTATCGGCGGAATCCCCCCCCCCCCCCCTTACCGGCCGCACAACCGGTTCTGACTATCATAGAGGTGATGGTTCGCATGTTAGACGTGTATGAGCGACAAAGGGGCTTGGTAGTTAATGCTGCTCAACCACGACCATCCAAGTCAATAACTCTAGAGCAAGAAGTCCACACTGTTTCCCATGCGTTCGAGCATTCTGTGCACTCGGAGGGGCGTACGCTAGGTTATGCCAGACCCGCGCGGTAATTACATTCACAATTAGGGCCTGCAGCCCCCGCTTGATCAGCCTTGGATCGGCTGGGCAGTCGAGCCGGACACCGCTCACCCACCCAGCCGGCAAGGGGGGTTAAGGAGCGATCTGGAGCAGAGCCCCTACGGGCAGTCTTTAAAAGGTGTGTAGCCTCTAAACGTAGGCTGGAAACCTTGGCTTCTAACTTGGAAAGTAACAGAGAGTCGCCTGCCTGGAGAGAACGAATGTAGCCTGGTGTGGCCGACCTGGCAGTTGAGATTAAGGATTTACGACAGAAGCTAGAAGGGAAAGAGAAACCAATTGCCAGGACCTTGCTGACTTCTTGCCCCTTTTCTACGGAGGTCTTGGCCTACAAAGCTCCAACAGGCTTCAAGCTGCCTGAACACCCAACTTATGATGGATCCGGTGATCCGGCCGACTACGTGATCAGCTTCCAGGCCAAGATTCAGGTGGTCGGAGTTAAGGACCCGATGATCTGCAGGGCGTTCTTCCCTGTGAATGTATATCTTGTATTATCAAACTAATTCATAAGGAATAATACAATATATATAATCCTGACTATGGCTACTCTAAACAAGGCAAGTATCAATTTACATAATGTAGAGAATTGTAACAGACAATTACAATGATTTACAATGATTTGATTGGATATACATTAATACACCCCCTCAAGCTGAAGGTTGGAGGGAGACAACATTAAGCTTGCCACGTAGAACGTCAAAGCGCGAAGCTGGAAGCGGTTTTGTAAAGATATCAGCCAGTTGATCTTTGGTGGATATAAAATTGACTAGAAAGTCCCTGGATGCTACTTTGTCACGAACAAAGTGAAAGTCAATCTCATCATGCTTCGTTCGAGCATGAAAAACAGGATTAGCACACAAGTAGGTGGCGCCAAGATTATCACACCATAGTGTAGCCGGAGTACCAGAATGAAGACCCAGTTCACGGAGTAGTGACACAACCCATGTGACTTCAGCTGCAACGTCTGCTAACCCTTTGTATTCAGCCTCAGTGGAAGAGCGAGCAACAGTGCGTTGTTTACGTGAAACCCAAAAGATTAAGTTGCTGCCAAGAAAAACAGCATACCCGCTAGTGGACTTGCGATCGATCGGACAACTAGCCCAGTTGGAATCGGAATAGGCATGAATGTCAGAGGACTGGGAGATAGATAGACGAAGACCATAGTCCAAAGTACCCTTAACATACCGTAACACACGTTTTAAGAGACCCCAATGCTCAACTGTCGGAGCGTGCATAAACTGGCATAGACGGTTCACTGCATAGGAGAGATCAGGGCGCGTAATAGTTAAGTATTGGAGAGCCCCTGCTAAGTGTCGATACTGAGTGGGGTTATCAAAAACTTCATCAGATGGAGTGACTGCTTTAATAATAGAAGCCGGAGTGGTGAGCGGTTTGCAATCAGTCATACCAGCCCTGTTTAGAAGATCACCCATATAACGACGCTGAGAGTGTAAACAAAGCCCATTACTGAATAGAGTTTCAATGCACAAGAAAAAAGATGGCTGGCCGAGATCCCGTATTTTAAAAACCGAAGCTAGTCGCTGAATAAGAGTGTGAATGAGACTAGAGTCATTTCCCATCATTATAATATCGTCCACATACACTAGCAAAAACACTCTAGCGGTACTAGCAGAGTAATGAAAAGAGACACATCGGTTTTTGAGGCTAAAAAACCTGTAGCAAGCAAAAACTCGTGAAGACGTTTGAACCAAGTACGTGGAGCCTGTTTAAGGCCATACAAAGAACGCCGAAGATGACACACATGATTTGGATGCCCAGGTTCCTCATACCCAGGTGGTTGCCGCATGTATACAGTTTTAGCCAAATGCCCATTTAAGAAGGCATTATGAACATCAAGTTGCCTTAGGGTCCAGTTATGAGAAACTGCGAGAGAGAGAAGGAGCCGGACCGTCGTGGGTTTGACCACAGGACTAAAAGTGTCAAAGAAGTATTCCCCCTCTATTTGATTAAACCCTTTGGCTACAAGCCGTGCTTTATAACGTTCAATAGACCCATCTGCCTTGCGTTTGGTGCGATATACCCACTTACAACCAATAATATTCATGCCCGGTGTTGCGGGAACAAGGTCCCATGTGTGATTGTGAAGCAAGGCATTAAATTCTTGGTCCATGGCATCACGCCAGTGAGGGTGACCAACGGCCTGGGTGTAGCAACTTGGATCAGTGGGGCCCATGTTTGCTACAAGAGCATGGAATTGTTCAGTGGTACCATGTGTCATATGTCGGAGACGCATTTCATGAGCCCGTTGTTGCGGGTCAGTAACCTTACGCCTTCGAGTGGTGCGGTTGCCACCAGTAGCTGGTGGTAAGACTCGTGGTGGAACCGGAGGGTCAGGTGCGGCATCAGTGGACGGTATAATTGGTCCTGAACCCCACGGTACATCAATTGACGGCACTGTATCCTGTTCTTTTAAAGCTGTAGAAAAAGGAAAACCAGTTTCGTCAAACCGGACATGACGACAGATAAAAGTCTTTCCAGTAGCAAGGTTTAAACAACGATACCCTTTAAAGGAAGTAGGATAGCCTAAAAAGACACATGAGGCAGACCTATACTCGATTTTGTGATGGTTGTAGGGTCGTAAGTAAGGGTAGCATAAGCACCCAAAGACGCGAAGAAAAGTGTAGTCGAGAGTCTTTTTGTGCAACTGAGAATATGGAGTGTTGAATTGTATGGCTGACGAGGGGAGGCGATTTATGAGATATGTAGTTGTTTCAAAGGCGGAGTCCCAGTATTTTAACGGAACTGATCCCTGAGCTAAAAGAGCCAACCCGGTTTCAACAATGTGTCGATGCCGGCGCTCAACACGGCCGTTCTGCTCGTGGGTGTATGCACAGGACTATTGATGTACAATCCCAAGAGTATTGAATAAATTGTGCAAACGGCGATACTCACCCCCTAAGTCAGACTGGATGACCTTGATAGAACGTGAAAACTGACGTTCTACCATGGCCCGAAAAACATCAAACACCTTATATATATCAGTTTTTACACGAAGTGGATAATACCAACAAAAACGAGTGTGGTCATCCACGAATAAAACAAAATAACGAAAGCCATCTGCTGAAATAATAGGTGCAGGGCCCCAAATATCTGAATACACTAGATCAAGAACAGCACTACTAGTGTATTTTATTCTATCTAAAGAAAGACGACTAGACTTGCCCAACTGACAAGCCGAACAAAGACTCGGAGAGCTCAATTTTTGTGGTATAACTGGACAAGACTGGAGTGCACGTTGCAAGACACGATTATGCGGGTGGCCTAAACGACAGTGCCAAACAGCGGACGAAGCCCGAGCCGATAGAAACGCCAAATGGGACTGCGGAACAGTTAAAGAGTAGAGACCACCCAAACTGGGACCCTTAAGCAGCACCACCTTGGTTGTGCGGTCCTTCACAACAAAATACTCAGGATGAAATTCAAAAAAGACGTTATTGTCAGTGGTGAACCGATGAACAGATAATAATGAAACGGAAAGATCAGGAACATGTAGAATGTTGGACAGTTTTAAAGGTTTAGAGACAGATGGTATCGTTGCACAACCAGTACTAGAAATACTTAAACCTGTACCGTTACCAATGCGAAGGACGTCGTTGCCGGTGTAACCCTCGGATTGTGACATCATGGCCGGATCGGGAGTGGCGTGAGAGGATGCGCCGGTGTCAGGATACCAAGCCGCAACCTCCGGTGGAGAACTGCATCGGAAGGAACTGCGATATTTTCCTGCGGTGGTGGTGGTTGATCGGAGTACCGCCGGAAATAATAAATGGCAGTGTGGCCGTGTGACCGGCAAATTTGACAACGAGGAGAGCCACCACGGCCACGGCCTTGGCCACCACGACCACTACCACGGTTCTGCCACTGATTGGGGCGACCACCACCGCGATTCTGTCTGCCTCCACCATTCTGCCTGCCCCGAGTGGCAACCATCGCCGTAGGAGCTCCAGTCCCCGGACCGGTCAAAAAGTCGTCGGAGTGGATAAACGTCTGAGCTTGTAGGTAGTCCGACAATTGAGGGAGAGTGATCGGAGTGCCGGATACAGCCAGAGAAGAAGCCATCGCCCGAAATTCCGGCCGGAGCCCCCTAAAAACGTACAGATTCTGCTCGTCAAGAGGCATCGGCCGGCCGGCCTGCGCTAGGTCTTCGACGAGAAGTTGGGCTCGGCCGAGATACTCGGCAGTTGACATCTCCCCTTGGCGAAGCGCCTGAAATTGACCAAGAAGGTTGAGGCACCGGATCCTCGTCGATGAGCCTAGAGCAGTCTCAATGGAGCACCATACTTCCCTTGCGGTGGAGCGGCCAACCGCAAGATACATGACCTCCTCGGAGAGGGAGGAGATCAAGAGTGATAAGATGGACTGGTCTTGTTGAGTCCATACGGAGAAGGCCGGATTGGCAGCGGTGGACGTGGCTTCATCGGAGGTGCCGGCGGCTGGAGTGGAGACAACCAACGCCGGTGGGCACGGCGTGGTTCCATCAACAAAGCTGAGAAGACCCTGACCCCGGAGGAAAGGGATGAGCTGTGTACGCCAGAAGAGATAGTTTCGTGTTGTCAGTTTGATCGACACGAAATGGTGAGCCGAGGTAAGGTGGTTTGGGGCGGTGATCGGCGGCGCCGGTGCAGCGGGAGTGCTCATCGTTCTTTCGGAGGAATTAGCAGCCATTGGATGAGGACCGAAAAAGCTATGGGAGAGAAAATAGAAGCCTAACAATCTGATACCATGTGAATGTATATCTTGTATTATCAAACTAATTCATAAGGAATAATACAATATATATAATCCTGACTATGGCTACTCTAAACAAGGCAAGTATCAATTTACATAATGTAGAGAATTGTAACAGACAATTACAATGATTTACAATGATTTGATTGGATATACATTAATATTCCCTACCCTCATCGGAGATGATGGAAGTGTAAAAAATGGAAGGGAATGAGAAAACCTCTTACAATGATGTTGCCTTCTTGTGTTTGGTGTTCTCAGGAGAAGAAATGGTGTGGAATGGGGAGGGATTGAAGACAACCAATGGAATAGTGCATATTTATACCTAGGGAACAAAGCCCTAGGTCATTTTTCAGCTCATTCTCACGCCACTAAGGGGTATTTTGGGTAATTTGGGGTTTGAACTTCGTGTTATAATTTTGGGTTAAAATTTTGGTTAAATTCAGACCATAACATAACAAAATAATATAGAAATAAGATAAGTTTATTTGAAATCAAGTTTGGGTAAAACTTGGCTAATTAAACTTGGCTATCATGTTCATAGGTTCTCTTAGATTGACTTTTGGGTTGACCTTGTTGATAAAAGAATATTTTTCCCAAATTAAGTTTTTGAAAACTTAATTATATAAATCAAATCTTTGTATTAACTCATTCCATTTTAAATAAATAATTTATTTATACAAATCACTAGTCAATTTAAGAATAAAATTTTTGAAAAATATTTTAACTAGTTTTTATGAAATAAATTAAATTTGAGAGAAGTGGAAATAACTATACAACCATGAATAAATATATCAAATTCTCAAAATAATAAATCTTCAAACTAGTTTTTATGAGTTACTCTTAGATAGACTTTATTCTCCCCAACTTGAATTCATTTCAAATTCCTATCCATGTTCACCTGAAAAATAATAATTTAAAAGCAAAACATGATATATCAATAATTAGCATAAGCTAAGTAAGTTCCATTTCACCTCGTAAAATAATAGGCTTAGATTTTTATATTTTCAAAACTCTATATGCTTTTCCAAAATATATGTAGAGATGTACTTTTCAAGAATTAATTTTCATACATACACATGGAGATTTAATATTTATGTATGGAGAAAAAACATCTCTTTAAAATTCATTTAGGGGATGTTTGGTTCATGGAAAATGTTTTCCAAAGGAAAACATTTTTCTTAAAGTGAAGGAAAATGTTGTTTTCTAGTGTTTGGTTCATGGAATTCATTTTCCAATGGAAAATGAATTCCCCAAATTTGAGGAAAACAAAATCATTGGTTGGCCAAGGATTTTGTTTTCCATGGAAGATGGGAAGAAAAAAGTGAATAGATTGCCCATTTTACCCTTGCTTTCTCTTTTAATTATATTACTTTTATTAATTTGTAGGGACATATAGGTCTTTATACTCATTATTCCTTACAATTCCAAATTTAACCAAACAATAGAATTAGTATTCCCAGTAATTCTTTTTCCACCAACCAAACAATGAAATTCATCTTCCTGGTAATTGTTTTTCCATGGAATTCCAATTCCACTTCCCTTAAAATATTTTCCGCGAACCAAACGAGCCCTTAGAAACTGGACCAAAATCTATAATGCACACCCCTAATAGATTCCAAGCTGTTGAGCAAATAGCCATTAATGTGCAATCCAACTATCAGCTTAAGCTTTTAGTTGAGATGGAGCACATGTTTCAATTTGGTATCAGAGCCAACCCACCACACACGTGAACCCCGTATAGGGTTCAAGCAAACGATCCAATTAGTCAGGTTTTCCTACTGACTACCAGGCAAACGATTTAATTTGGAAACTAGATCATAATCTATGTGATACACCATCATGGGATTCCAAGCCCAATGAGTAGTAAATAGTCCAAGTGAACAGTAATTCTCTTTACTAAACACCACACAAACAGTCCAAGTGAACAGTAATTCTCTTTACTAAACACCACACAAACACAACAATTTATATTGTGCACTACGGCGCACATAGCAATGTGCGTCCAGGCACAAAACGCGTGCGTTTCATGCTAACATCACTCCGTCCATCCGAACAAACCAAACCCCATTATGTGTATTCTGTTAAAAATTTATGTGTATTGTGTTATGAGTTTTTGTGTATTCAGTTAAGAGTTTATGTGTATTATGTTAACCAAACCCCATTATGTGTATTCAGTTAAAAGTTTATGTGTATTGTGTTATGAGCTTATGTGTATTCAGTTAAAAGTTTATGTATATTATGTTAACCAAACCCCATTATGTGTATTCAGTTAAAAGTTTATGTGTATTATTTATTATGTTAGATTATGTGTATTCTGTTATGAGTTTATGTGCAGTCGAAACAGAAGATTTTTTTAACAACTTAACAAAATGACGTCGTTTTGGGAGGCGCGGAGGGCATAGTGCTATGTGCGCCCTGGTGCAAGGTATAACGATTGCACAAACACAATGGTTTCTCTAAAATTAAATCATTTCTCGTAGATACCATTCTCCAAAAATAAATCATTTTCTCCTAAATACATTTTCTACAAAATATTCAATTTTCTCCAAAATACATTTTCTCCAACATTTTCTTCAAAATATTCAAAAATAAATCATTTTCTCCCAAATATTCAATTTCTCCTAAATACATTTTCTCCAAAATATTTTTCAATACATATTTTTCTCCACATAATTTCTCAAAAATGATTTTAACTTCATGGTAATATAATTTCACCATACATATATATATATATATATATATATATATATATATATATATATATATATATATATATATATATATATATATATATATATATATATATATATATATATATATATATACACACACACACACCAAAATTTCAAGCCAGGTTTGTACATACACAGGGCTCGACACGTCGAAACCCATTCTCGATATCTCAAGAATCACCACTCACAAAATTGTAATTTATCGATAAATGCACTTGTAATCACCAATATTATAATTCATATAAAATCACACATAACTTGTAGAAATAGATTTTAGCAAATAATCATACCACATCCACACATCATAATATATATATATATATATATATATATATATATATATATATATATATATATATATAGAGGCCAGTTCAGGTGCGGCAGTGTCTTACGGTGCGGCGATTTCTTACGGTGCGGCAACACCAATAGTTCAACAAATATGCACCATCAACGTTAGAAAAATACACCACAAAAAACAGAGTAAACAGAGCCCTGCATCACCAAACACACACTATTAGGTGTGAGTAAAAACACCATACATTGTTCAGAAATACACCATTGGGGGTGGTGAGTTATATGGTGTATTTTTTTGAGTCTGTTGTGTATTCTGTGATATTTTATTGCATTTCATTGTGGTGTGTTTTTCTAACACTATTGGTGCATATTGTTAACACTGTTGGTGTATTCTGAAATTCCGCCGCACCGCCGCACGGGAAGACCCCGCCGCATTTGTACTTTATTCTATATATATATATATATATATATATATATATATATATATATATATATATATATATATATATATATATATATATATACACACACACACACGCACACACTTCGAGATAAATAATTAATTTTGATGAACATGATATCTTATCTCGAAGCTCAAAATTTATATCAGCCACTTAATCTAAATATTCAACTTGATAATAAGAAAGCTCTAAATCAAACAATCTAATATAATTACTAATATTATGATTATACTTTTATATTACTAATACCGGTACATACTACAACATTCTGACCCATAATTATTATCATAATCACGAGTTAATTACAGCAATGGTCCTTCGACTATTGCAATTTTTCAAAATTAGTTCTCGACTTTTAATTTGGACGAAAAAGACACTTGACTTTCACATTTGTTCCAGCAATAGTCCTTCTGTTATTGGTCCGTCAGTTAAGCGTTAAGTTAGGGGTTAAAATGGTATTTTCCTTTTATTGCTCCAAGTACAGAAACTCTGAGTTGGCCTGAGACGGTTTCCCCACTACTATTATGGGATCTGTGCGTTCTAGATTCACTCGGAGAGGAAGTCAACAACAGAGATGACAATGACAGCTGCGATGACGCAGGCCATGGCGGTTGCGACGAGCTTCGAGGACACCGACTTGGATTGGGAACCACGAGGGATGCTAAGGGTTGCGGTGTTCCCAGGTAAGGTAGCAAATGTAGACGGGGACGGCGGAGGAGGCGGTGAAGAGTACGACAGGAAGAAAGGAGTATTGGCAGGGGCAGGAGTAAAATGGGATGTCGGGAGTGGTAGGCGTCGGCGGCGAAGGAACAGAAAGGGTAAAATCCAGAAGGAAAAATGGCTGGTGGAGAACGCGGTGGTTGTGGAGGAGGAGGACACATCGTGGCGTTCTTGGTGTACTGGACGGCGGAGATGGCGACAGCAAGCAGTCATCGCGGTGTTTTAATTCGTCCGCTACTATTATTATTCTTTACGGTATCAATGCCATCTTCAATATATGCCAACAAATACAACTGCTCAATCCACACCTAATTCTACTTCAGAATTTCTGGCCTTACATGATTGATAGAAAAAAATTTCAGAAACAAAATCAACCCATCAGAGCATTAAGCTAACATGAATGAATTATGAATCCCTTATCCAGTAATCTTTCAAAATACATACATAAACACGCAGCAAGATTTACATACTCTGCCAGAAATAGAAACTCCGAGAACCCACGATAGCAGATCCAAAAGGCTAAGACTTGAGATGGGAGAAGGTGAAACTGACCGCAACAATATAATTATACCCACTAATTATTTTCCATTTCAAAGCAAGATAGAACATCTGTCTTTGCCAAGATCAAACAGAACCCAAACCCATCAAAGATTAGACTTGGAAATTAAAGGAAAAACTTTAGCTGCCGCCGCTATTATGAGTCGAAAACAGACAAAGATTGCTCCAA